GCAGTCGCACGGGGAGAGAAGCCCCTCGCTATTACACACGTCTTGACCCTCGTGGCAGATCCGACAAATCGGCCGATCGCTAACAGAGAAGGAAGTTAATAGCTTTGCCTTTAGGCAACTGGAATATACATTGCCTGAAATTGAAAATGTTGTTCAGATTTGTCTACCTCTGGGTGCCCAGGGCTTTGATAACAGTAGATAGTAGACGTCCATCTTTGGCCGTGACCTGGGTGACGTACTGGGCCCGGCAGTTGTCAGCCTCCTCCACGGTTTTGGACAGGGCAGCGTTGCCAGTGCAGTCGCACAGGGAGCCTGGGAGGTGGCAACACTCCCCTGTGGTCATTTCGGGGCCGTCCAGGAGGGCGGGGGGCAGGGGAGCACCGGGGGGAATCAGGGAGCAGCCTCGCTCCCACACCTCAAGTCACAAAGACCCTACCACTGCAGAGAGGAGGAACATTTACAATGGTTACATTAGGGAAATTTTGACAGCGAAAATGGTCAACTGTCAACTGGCAATGAAGTAACGCACCACACAGAAGACACTGTCAAACTGCAAATTCATGTTACCAACTGTCATGTTTCCTCCTTTTCTTAAAAAGAGTTACAGTGAGATGCTTAAAACGGAAGTGCATGTGGCCAATTTGTAAACTAAGATAAACTAATCTAAGATAAGACTCACCATTTTAATAACATTCAAAAAAGCGTAAAAACACAAATTTGTGTAAAGTTGCATCCGATTTTGTTGCAGAGACATCATTGTAAACCCTAAAACCGCTGTAAAAATAATAATTTAAATAGCTTTAACTGAAAAAATTATTTAAGTGCTTTTATAATAATAAGATTTAACATTTCTGCTTTTAAATCATCCAAAAACCATCCCATTCTCTACCATTGTAAATTACTTACTATAAGCATGATTTTTCCTTTGTCTTTTTTAATTATTATTATTTTTCAAGTCAAAATCTCTTTTTTGTGACAATCAACAGTTTGCCACAAATGCATTAGAGCTTAATTTGTACTTTAAAAATACATATTTAAATAAATATTTGCCATCTACAGTTCATTTTCGCTGCAATGTTTTACTTTTGCTTCTTTCCAAATATAAAATACAATGTGGCACACATTTATGTAAAATACAAAATAGTGTGTGTGTGTGTATACACACAATTTATTATATATATACACACACACACACACACACACACACACACACCCACAAATGCATTAGAGCTTAATTTGTACTTTAAAAATACATATTTAAATAAATATTTGCCATCTACAGTTCATTTTCGCTGCAATGTTTTACTTTTGCTTCTTTCCAAATATAAAATACAATGTGGCACACATTTATGTAAAATACAAAATAGTGTGTGTGTGTATACACACAATTTATTATATATATACACACACACACACACACACACACACACAAGAATTGTGCATTATATTCCAAGCTTTGTATAAGAAACTATTTAAAATCAAAATCTTGATTTTGACTTATTTCCGAGCTTGACAGCTGTAATTACTACAAGCTTGCAATGAATGAAAAAGAGCATCTTGGACATTCTTCAGAACGTCTCCTTTTGTGTTCCACAGAAGTCGTAAAGGTTTGAAACAAGAAGAGGATTCATCTAACATAATATATCATTATAATACAAAAACAAGCATATTGAGGTTAACTTAGTCTATTAACTGAGCAATACACTAAAGAAAACCTAGTGAGCTGACATTTGTACACAGCATTTTTGGGCAGTGTATGTTTCAAAACATTATTTTACACATCTTTTGATGAATGGCAAGTCGCTGCATTATTAAATCTAGATATGATCTACTGATCAAACCAACAACATATAACCTTTACTAGCATAGGGATGTACGGACAGAAACAGAGATGAGGGAATAACCAGCATAAATGCACTGCCATTTTACATGAAATATGAAATCCTGTGCAGCCATAACATCAGTCCACATTTAAACCATCTGGTCTGACCTGATCTGTCAAGCTGTCTGACACTAGTCTAGGGTGGGCCTTTGGCACACAACACAAGCTACAAATTAAAGATCAGTTTCCTCCAATATAGCGCTAAATGTTTCTTAGTTATTCGTTTAAACCGAAAACAACCCGATTCGATACGTATTAAGACAAAGTCAGAGTGAATGTGGAATAATGCGGCTGCATTAGACTGCTAGTAACATTAGCCATGTAGCAAAATATGCCATCAAAGACTGGGATTAGAGATTACAACATAATTTCTTGTCGTCTAATCTTACCTTCTGGCTTTCCATGCTGAGCTGCTGCCTTTAAGGGTGAATTCCTTTTAAAAGTGACGCCTGTTTGCAAACGGTAAGGTAAAAGTACAAGCCTTGTTTTGGGTTTGATTCTTTCAGCAGACGACTCGGCTCAGCCTCCGATTAGCGCCGTGTACGATAAGAGCGCAGAGGGAGGCGCTTCTCTACGCAGCGCTGCTTCGGAATTTTCCTAAACAGCTTTCGTGAATAGCCGTCATCCGAGAAGTGCCTATTGTTGTTAGTTCTAAGGACTGTTCACTGCTCATGTGAGGATTTATGCGTTGTGATGTTAATATGGTTTTGATTTTTTAATGATTGTTTAACTTAAATACTTGCCTATTTAGTCTTTATTTTTTTTTTAGCAATACTGAACAAAATGTGCATATTTATGCGTAACGTAATGTGATATTTCATTTTTCAGTTTTGTGCGTAGCCTAAAATACACTTTTAATCACTTTAGTTCCTCCTAGTAAATTGTTTTAGAAGTGTAGTCTGAAAATAGTTACTTTTTAAATAATGGGTCTTTAATAATAAAAAAAATAATAACAAATAGGTTTTTAGTTTTGTGTACATTTATCCCTTACCAGATCAAGAATGTCACTTAGTTTAATATTTCACTTTTGTGCATATTAATAAATTGCACTTTTATTCCTCATCTTTTCTAATTTTGACCAAATTGTTTAAGAAATGTAATTTGTTTTCTTTGATATGACATATTTTGCAACTGTGAACAAAATTACTGTTTTTGAATAATGTCTTAATATTTTGTTTTCAATTTTGTATAAATTTCTCCCCTTTTTCTCATTTATATCAGACTAAGAATGTCACTAAATGTTTAGAATAAATTTTTTTTTAAAGCAAACAAATTGAAAAAGATTATGCTTAACCTAATAATTTATTAAGATTTAATTTTCACTTTTGTGCTTAAACACTTTTATTTGTCTTTTATTTGTAACCATTTAAGAAAAGTCATCTATTATTTAAAAAAAAAAGTACAAAAAAATATTTTACGTTTTTAATTTTGTGTTTAAGCAAATTAATTCCCCTTCTTTTGTATTTTTAGGATTTTAAGGAGGTAATTTTAAGAAGGTAATTTAACCCCTTAACTACTTAACCTGGCATATTCCTTTAAAGAGCTTGTGACATGGAAACTAAATAGATCGCTTGAGTCATACCAACCATTCGGCACGACACCTATTCTAGGTACAGATTCAGACATACATGTCATATTGTGCAATATGGAGTCCAAAAATAAAAATCACAACTGTAATTGTGACAGTAATTTGGTTTATTTTCCATTTTAATGTAACCTGATAAAAGGCAAAACAGCTGTTGTCACTTCATGGATGTGTAAATGTCACATAACCACACTCGAAAAAGGCATCTTAATCACAGTATGGGAAAACATAAGGCATTTTCAAACTAGTCGTATGACAGTCAAACAATCCAATATATATGGACTTTCACAGACCGGTGAAACAACTCGCATTTCAAAATTAAGTTATTTTATCGGCGAATCGGGTTTGAAAATGACCGATACCGATAATCATAAAAATGCTTAATATCGGCGCCGATAATCGGTCGACCCCTACTTTGAATCACCTGAGATAATCCTGCTGCTCCTTAAGGAGGGGGGAACTCTTCCTCTCTATATCTCAGGATTGGATGGACCCAATATTTCCTTTCTTTTTCTCTTTTTAAGAAGCGAGAGGACAACAAAATCATCCTCAATGCTTGAAGACTCCATTTAGTACTGTTTTGTGAATTTTTTCTTTTTTTTTCAATTTTTTCCAGTCATTTCAATAGGAATCCATGTGATCAGGAATTTCATCTGAGGGAGAAATATTTCCCCTCATAAATTTCGCAACAGGTTTGTGTTGGTCAAGTGGTAAATTCTCTGGCTTGGCAAAAAGATTTCCCCGAGCAGATTTTGCAACAGGTTCAAGTTGGTCACATGGATTCGCAGAATACATTGACTTGGATTGAAATTGACTTTTTACAGGAAAAATCTACTGGCAAAATCCAGCCATTTTAATAGGAATTCATGCAAAGAGGAATATTGCATGAGGGCAAAATATTTCCCTTCAGATATTTCACAACTGTTTCATATTGGTCACGCTGCTATTTTTCTGGATTAGTTTAAAAGTGGATTTTTGTGGGCAAAATCCAGTTATTTCAACAATTTCACACACGAAAATTTTGCAATGATTTTGAGTTGGTCACATGGAAATCAGCACATTCATCTGCTTGGTTTAAAAGTGACTTTTGACAAAATCCAGTAATTTCAATAGGAATCCACGTAATTTTTTGGCCACTAAACGTTTTAGCCACTTTTTTTTTTGGCCACTAAATTTTGCTGAAAGTTTGCTAACGGTGCATTCACACGGGGCGCCTGCGTTTCTCATTTACTTTAAATGGTTGACGTCATGAGTTGCCGAACTGAATTGTGGATCTGTTGCATCGCCGGCACTGCTGTTGCTCACGGCAGAAATTGAAAACTTTAAACTTTTCAAGCTCCAGCACAGGCGTCAGCCAATCAAATTGCATTACGCAAATACCCTAGCGCAGTCGCTAGCCAATTGCGTTCATGCAACACCAGAAAAGTAATGTGACTAGCTGTTGTCATTATGATGGTCGCGTCAGCACCAAGCTTCAGACACAACCTCGGTCAAGCTTCGACGCCCCATGTGAACGTATCCGTAATGTGACTGTAACTTTAATTACGATCAGGACCCACCTGTTAGTATGTTTTTAAATGCCTCCTCCACATTTGTGGAGTCCAAAGCTGATGTTTCGATGAAGGAGAGATTGTTCTTCTCTGTATAACACAAGATGAAAGATAATTTAACACCTCAGGTAGATCTTTTCTCACTAAACATGAAAATGCAGGAGGAAATGCTTACCTGCAAAAGCTCTGGCCTCATCAGTGGGAACGGCCCTGAGGTGCCTCAAATCGCTCTTGTTGCCCACCAGCATGATGACAATGTTGTTATCCGCATGATCCCGCAGCTCCTTCAGCCAGCGCTCCACATTCTCATAAGTCAGATGCTTTGCGATGTCATAGACCAAAAGAGCTCCAACTGCACCCCGGTAGTATCTGTGAAAGAGACCCACGTAAAATATATACTAAAAATGTATATACTAGTGTTGTCAAAAGTACCGACCACGATACCATTCAGTACTGAAATTTGAAAAACGTCCATCTCCCGCTAAGATTTGAGCACTGTTGAGTAGATTCTTAAACAGCGTTGATTGGCCATAGTGTTCACGCGCTCAAAAGATATGACTGTGATTGGCTTCAATGATCATCGTTTCACACTAAGGCTGTCAAAAAAAATTTGAATTTAGAATATTCGTCGAATTTGATCAAATTAGTTTGAATGAACTTTGCATTCGAATTTTAGGTCTGCGTCAGCCAGCCTTATCAGTGGCGCACGAAATGCAATGTAAGTGTCATTGCATTTTAATGCTTTTGTTAGCCTATCCAGTTGAACCCATTAGATGCGGCGCTGCTATGTTGTTCATTCAATATATTGCGGAAAACGAGAGCATCAGTGTGGCGAACAGAACGCATATTTATCACATTTTCTAACGGGGCATCTATCAGCGTTGCACTCGCGTCTCGCAGAGAGCGGCATGTTTAGAAAGCCATGTAAAATTAATGTAAGTTCAACTTTTAAAAAACATGTCTCAAGACTTTATGGCGGTTTTCCCCCATCCCACTGTATCTCATGTTTTTAAATGAAGAAAGTACCCTATTGTGGCCTCAGGAGAGAAGCCAAAAGCGTTTTTTCCCCCTAACTGAATCGATGACAACGATTCAACCATGATTCTTTACTAAATGATGCAGTTGATTTAAAAAATATATATATATATTTGTAATCAATTTTGATATTTTACTTTTTTATATTAAGTATTATTATTAATTATACTGTAATTATACTATACAGGGGTTAAAGCAAAAAAAAAATCATTTTTTCTGGGGGTGGGGCGGGGCAGCACATGTTAAAGCAAAAAAAAACCCTGAGCCTGAACTTTTTCCAGGGGCGGGGCAGCACAGCACATGCAAAGCATGCAATGACTGTGGCAACTTTAACATTTGAAAGGATACTATGGCAAAGTTATTGCTTTTTTTATTCAAACTGATTTTTTTTCATGAATATATGGTTGACCTGAAGAATGAAAGCTAGGCTATATCATACACTTGGAAAATTATGAGCTATATCACCGCTCATAGACACTAGGGGTGTGACAATACACTTAGCTCACGAGACGAGACAAAATACAGATACTTGGTTCAATAGAACGAGACAAATTTTTAATACTATTTTTAAGAAATTTTAAATGACAAAATATTTGTCTTTTAATTACAAAAAGTAAAACAATGCAGTTGTATTTTGAAATATTTTAACTAATCTAAGGCTGTAACTAATAATTATTTTGGTAATCAAGTACTCTACTGATAAGAATGAAAGCTGTGTCATACACTTGGAAAATCATGAGCTATATCACCGCTTATCGACACTAGGGGTGTAACAATACACTTAGCTCATGAGATGAGACAAAATACAGATACTTGGTTCACTAGAATGTGACAATATTTTAATACTATTTTTAAGAAATTTTCAATGACAAAATATTTGTCTTTTAATTACAAAAAGTAAAACAATGCAGTTGTATTTAGAAATATTTTAACTAATCTAGGGCTGTAACTAATGATTATTTGGTAATCAAGTAATCTACTGATTATTTTGACAACTGAGTAATCTAATATTTTTTTAGTAACAAACAGACCTAAGGCTTTAGTATGACTATTTATATAAACTAACGATGAGGCAATAATAATTGGCTCAAATAAAATATCAAAACCAAGAAATTACAGGATTGTACTGAACAACACTGTTAAAATATATAATGTAATATGCCTATACATAATATGAACATAACTATGATTTACGTTACAAATCTAGTGAGATAATGCACAGTTTTTCCAGATGAACGTTAAGCAATTCAAATTCACGGCATATGCAGAGGAAGAGTTTAGCCCCTTTCACACAATACAGTCTTCACTGGTAAATTACCGGTAAGTTACCATTAATAGATCATGTGTGAACAGGACCTTTTCAAAAATCCCAGTAAATTTGTTCTGGCAATCATATCGTTTTATGGAGATGACATGATTACTCTGAGCTGTTTACAAAGCTCCGCTGCTTTTAAATTAGTTATTCTATGTAAATATGCGCTAGATGGACATATTTTACCATTGCGCCTCACAGCTTTTTGTCACGCTTCTACATTCATCAGGGCTGCGACTCCACAATTGGATACTATTATGCGCTTCTTGTGTTTACAAGAGCAAAACATTCTGATTGGCTAGTAATGTTAGTTTAGTTGAGAGTGAAAACTGTGCTCCTCTCATACCATTGGTAAGCGAACTCATGAACTCGAAAGTGATAATCAATCAACAAGATTTGTTTTTTAAATGTAGGACTATTTTTTTTCCGCAGCCAAACGCTGCACGCTGGAGATCCAGCACGGTGCTGGAGAACTTTAAGCCCTGACTATAATTAAATTATTTTATCATTAACTAATATACTATTATGGGCCATACATCAAATAAATTATCAATAATTACTCTATGAAATCATTTATAGAATTATCAATTATAAACTATTTTATTTTTAATTTACAGTATTATTATACAACTATATACTAGTGTAGTTATAGTCCTATCCTCCTATTATTAAACAGAGTTTAAATTATACTCCATATTAATTATATATTAATTAAAAATAATTTACCAATAATGCTAAAATTAATGTATTTAATTACCATGGATAAATTATAAAAAATTATGAGATTTAAATTAATTTTAACAATAATAATTTAATAAAATTACTTTCACATAATTTGTTTTAAAATCATTTTATTTTTAGTATACCTTTTAGTCATAGTATATTTTCTATATTATTTCTAAAAAGTAAATAAATAATCTTATTTTTAATAGATCTACTACAAATATACTATGAATAATTAACTTAAAATAATTTGATCAATAACTTTAACATTTTTTAAATAAAATTATTATGATAAATCATGAAGATATGTGAACCCAAAGGCCCATACAGACTGATGAGTGTGAATTAATTGGCCCATAGAGATGATGGCTGTGAGCCAGACAGCCCACACAAAGGACATTCAATCTTGCGTATTGAGGACCCTACACGGGAGGTACAAACAGTGCCATACTCTGGTATAAAATTTCGTCCCACACACAGAATTAAGATTTAATTACTTCTTCATGTACTCACGCTGATGTGATGGCTCTGTAGCGTTCCTGTCCCGCTGTATCCCAAATCTGGGCCTTTATGGTCTTGCTGTCCACTTGGATGCTGCGAGTTGCGAACTCCACACCAATGGTGCTCTTGCTCTCCAGGTTGAACTCATTCCGAGTGAAACGGGACAACAGGTTACTCTTCCCCACACCAGAGTCTCCAATGAGCACCACTAGAAAACATAAGACTGCTTGAACAAGACAGCTTCTCTTATAAAAACCATAGCCATAGGGAAGATGTCATAGCCATCACCGCATGAAATGAAGGCCACAGAACAGAAACAATCTACCATGTGAGTCCTTGAAAGTAAACCACAAACCAAAGTGTGCACCCAAAGCACATATACAATGTCATCATTTGAAAAGCAGAAACACACTAGATTAGTCAGCCATCCTGGTTACGTCCACATGACGAGGACATAGAGATAAGAGAGAAGCCGTAATCTACCAACACACACTTCCACTGTCATTTTCCCTTCGCTCCATCAATTTGACACCCTAAAAACTAAAATACAGGCCTAGCCAAATTATATAAGGAACGAGAAAGGCATAGAAAATATCAATCAGCTCATACTGTGTCCGTTGCAATGTGGTCAGCATTCATTTTCTCTAGAGGAACCCTGAAGTAATTCACAAAACGGTTGTTGATATACTGGAGAACATCTAAAAATTGGTCAAAACTTTCAACAAGAAATCTCAAAAATAACCAAAGTGGCACATCTGTAAAACCTCAACAGAAATCTATGGTTTTGTCACATATTGAAACTCTTTTTAAACGCACCGTGTAAAAACAGGAACTCGATGTGGGAAGGAACTTTTAAATATATAACTTATAAATAATTAAACAATATAACTTTTAAATAAAAAAAACTTTTTTTATATACATATATATATATATATAAATAAATATATATATATATAAATATATATATATATATATATACACATACACACACATACACAGAGAGTCAAACTGAAGTAAGTCCAGGCTTATAAATATAAATATAAATATAAATATAAATATATATATATACACACACACACATGCAACTGAAGCAATTTGATACATCCAAAAATATGTTTTACAGTGACGCCATGATCATCTACAGTTGTCAATTTCACATTACAGAGTTTGTGTCAGCTTAGTGATTTAACTAAATTACCTGCTGTAAAAGCTACAGAAATGCTTACAATTGCAGGTTAATGGCCAAATTCGGCCTGTTTGAACATCAAGAAGCGACTCTTGTGTAATAATAAACGACAAAAAAAAGTTTCCTAAGGCCTAGCAACCACACAAAATATTAAGCAACACATAGCTACTAAACGACTACAAAAGTTGACGTTGTTCGAGGTTTTTGGTATAGAAGCAAAACCCGCTGAAGTGAGCTGAACATATTTTTTTTGTTGTTTAGGTATGAAATTATTGCATTAAAACAGCTAGTTATTTAGCTCACTTTAGTTTGGAAGCTATCTAGCTGCTTAGCTAACATAGTGCTAACTACATAAGCGAATTGCATTATCGTTTTCATACTGCAGAAGGAAGATATTCAAATGTATTAATCTACTTTCAACTCTTGATTCTTCGAAACACACCGGTTAATATTTCGATAGCAAACGCCAGTAAACTAGCATTCCAGCTAACCAAGCTAGCCACAGTCATCAGGAAACTTGCTGTTTTTGTTGATAATAAAGAAAAACTAAACACGTCTATTCTTAGTTTTGATACATTAAAAAACGTACCTTTAAATAAATAATCGTATTCGTCGTCACGGGTTCCCATTGTTAGTTTACCGCACTAAAATGTTGTTGTTGGGCGATGGACCTCTCCTGATGAGCGATGTCCGATTCGTGAACGAATTGTTCTTATGAGTCGGATCTTGTAGTGATCGGTTGAACTGGTCCATGAACCGCACCGAATAATTCGTTCATGACCCCAGAACCGATCAGGAAACTTGCTGTTTTTGTTGATAATAAAGAAAAACTAAACACGTCTATTCTTAGTTTTGATACATTAAAAAACGTACCTTTAAATAAATAATCGTATTCGTCGTCACGGGTTCCCATTGTTAGTTTACCGCACTAAAATGTTGTTGTTGGGCGATGGACCTCTCCTGATGAGCGATGTCCGATTCGTGAACGAATTGTTCTTATGAGTCGGATCTTTTAGTGATCGGTTGAACTGGTCCATGAACCGCACCGAATAATTCGTTCATGACCCCAGACCGTTTGTTTCAGAGAGCGTTGGTATTAATACAAATAAAAGAAAACCTGCAAAAACGTTTGCAGCTGATTTTTGTTCTAAATGCAAATTTTGCATTATATGCATCTATTTTTTTTTTTACATAGGATATTCTTTAAATAAATCTTTTGAATTTCCCTGTGCAGACAAGGGTTTAGGCTACATGAGACAGATAAGGTGCAACTTCTACCTGATCCGACCAATTAAAATACCTTCATTGTTTAACATCTCAAATATTTCTCCTAGACAGAAAATGAGGTTACTTTAAGATTGAATGGAGATTTTTGCTCAAGTCTGCTGCTTCTCAAACTTGTCTTCTGAGACAAAAACTCTAACAATCTTTACAATGGTCTCCTTTAACGTTTTTTTAAGAGACCTCATCATCATCACACACTGTGCTCAGATTTTCTCCTTAAAGACGCTGGATCTCTCACATTTATCTCCTTTAAAGCTTTAGAAGAGATCTCAACAACATCACACACTGTGCTAGACTCTGGTAGTCTCATATTTGACTCCTCCAATGTTTCAAACAAGATCTCAACAACATCACACATTGTGCTCAGATTTTTCTCTTAAGACTCTGGTGGTCTCACATTTGTCTCCTTTAAAGTTTTAGAAGAGATCTCAACAACACCACACACATGTGCTCAGTCTTTTCTCCTACACTAAAGAGTCAGAAGCTCTCACATTTGTCTCCTCTACCAAGAGTGCAATGACGACTCATCCAGGAGGTCATAAAAGAGCCCAGAACAACATCTAAAGAACTGCAGGCCTCACTTGCCTCAATTAAGGTCAGTGTTCATGATTCAACAATAAGAAAGAGACTGGGCAAAAACGGCATCCATGGGAGAGTTCCAAGGCAAAAGCCATTGCTGACCAAAAAGAACACAAAGGCTCATCTCACATTTGCCAAAAAATATCTTGTTTATCACCAAGACTTTTGGGCAAATATTCTGTGGACTGATGAGACAAAAGTTGAACATTTTGGAAGGTGTGTGTCCCGTTACATCTGGCGTAAAACCAACATTTAATAAAAAGAACATCATACCAACAGTCAAACATGTTGGTGGTAGTGTGATGGTCTGGGGCTGCTTTGTATCTTCAGCACCTGGACGACTTGCCATAATTGATGGAACCATGAATTCTGCACTCTATCAGAAAATCCTGAAGGAGAATGTCCGGCCATCAGTTTGTGACCTCAAGCTCAAGCACACTTGGCAAGTCCACCTCTAAATAACTCAAGAAAAACAAAATTAAGGTTTTGGAGTGGCTAAGTCAAAGTCTACAAAGTCTTAAATCCAATTGAGATGCTGTGGCATGACTTTAAACAGTCCATTCATGTTCGAAAACCCCCCAATGTTGCTGAATTAAAACAATTCTGCAAAGAAGAGTGAGCCACTTGGGTTATCTTTGTGTATTATTAAAATTTGTTTGATGATCTGAATCTTTTAAGTGTGACAAATAAGCAAAAAAATTTAAAAAACAGGAAGGGGGCAAAAACCTTTTCACAGCACTGTATATAGAGGCCTACATTTTTTAACTGTGTTAAGTTAAATACTTATTTAGATTTGAGAAACAACTTTCATGATAGCATTACGATAAAATTGTGTTTTACAGAGCATACAGAGCACTGACCAGAACAGCCAGGCACAAGAACAGTCTTTTCCCGCAGGCTATATTCAGTCTGAACAATTAAACTTTCATACATCGTCCATCACAACTGACATATTTATACACAGAATCCTACATTTGTACACTTGTAAACTGCACACTTTGTAAATAACATATCTGCACACTTATAACATATCTTTACATTTATTTAAACAATTACATTTTTTTCATGTTCATCTATAAATCTAGAGCATTAACACTGAATATTTACCTTTAGGCTATGAAGCTTCTTTTAGCGGTATTTGTGCATAAAATACTGAAATGCTCTTCGTACAAGATCGGAATTCGTACACCAGCAAAGATATGTCAAGCTCCTCCTATAAAACAAAATGACTCTGCCCTTTCCTTATTACTCCAGAGACCAGATAAGAGCGGGATTGGACAGTGACCACATAGTTTACAAACAAGAAACGAAATAAATTTGACGCGCACAAGCTTTAAATTGTGTTGTTAAGAAAATAGCGATATGTTTAAATATTAGCACGTTAAACGTTAACTAAATTTTAGACCTAAATCTAAACATTCTAAATATTTTTAAAGAGCATTTAAAACGATAAAGTTTTCAGTAGGTTACCGATGTAATCGAAAAATTCCATGACTTCATCTCAGTTAGGCAAAGCGCTTTGATACTGTGAATCATCAGATCCTTCTGTCCACCCTCTCATACTGGGCATCACAGGAACTCCACTTCACTGGTTTGAATCTTACCAGGTAGGTCTTTCAAGGTTGCCTGGGGAGGGGAGGTATCCAAATCACATCAACTGGTCACAGGGGTTCCTCAGGGATCAGTTGTTGGACCCCTCCTCTTCCACATGGTTTCTCATAACATTGCTGTGCTGATGACACACAGCTCTATCTTTCATTTCAACCAGAATCACCTACAGCTCAACATGGCGAAGACTGAGCTTCTCGTCTTCCCTGCTACTCCGACTCTAATTGGTGATTTCACCATCCAGCTAGGTTCATCAACAATTACCCCATCATGTTCGGTCAGAAATATTGAAGTAATCACTGATGATCAGCTGACCTTCAAAGACCACATTGCAAAAACCGCTCGTTCATGCAGGTTTGCTTTGTACAGCATCAGAAAGATCAGGTCCTTCCTAATGGAGCATGCTGCACAATTTCTTGTCCAGGCCCTTGTCATTTCTAGACTGGACTACTGCAATGCTCTTCTGGCTGGACTTCCATCATGCACAATCAAACCTCTACAAATGATTCAGAATGCAGCAGCACGTCTGGTCTTCAACAAGCCTAAAAGGGCCCACGTCACACCTCTCTTTATCTCCCTGCAGTGGCTACCGGTTGCGGCTCGCATCAAGTTCAAGACATTGATGCTTGCATAAGAACAACCACAGGCTCAGCACCTTCCTACTTCCACTCACTCTTGAGTCTACATCCCCTCCAGAAGTCTGAGAGTGAGTGAAGCCTTGTGGAACCATCAAAGAGAGAGACACAAAATCATTTACTCTTAATCAATGATGTATGATGCTCTGTTGTAGTATTTTTCTTGCTCCTAATACTAACAGGATTCACTGAAATTTAATTTAGACCTTTTTCTTAAATATAATTGTTAAATTACAGAAAAATACCGGTTATTAAATTGAGCATGTTAAAGCACAAAGTGTTTAAGCATCCCAGGTCTCCCCTACTATTACTTTCTTTTTGTATTACTGCACCTTTAAATCTTTTGTGGTTTAGAGTCAACGTCACTGTTGTAGAAAAAAAAATCTCCACGAGATAAATGCTTTTATTGAGCTGTATTATAACTGTATGACCTTCCCGCCACAGTGCTGTTAAACGTGAACGGACTTCCTTGTCTTGGATCTAAAGACCAAAAGAAGCGTCTTGTTCTACAAAACGTAAGTGACAAAGCTAGTTTTCAATTAACAGTAACTCTTTGAGTATGCACGCAGTAATTTATTTACTTGAGGTTTAAAAATAAGTTATTTATCCAGTGTTTATCTTCCAGCAAAAGGTTATTGAATAGCAATGAATCGAACATTGTATTTTAATTTAAACAAATTAGCTTTTTAGTGTTTATTCAGTGTTCACTGTTTATTTTCAGTGTTTATCCGCAATGACAAAGGCGACGATGAGTTAATATAACGTTACAGGCTGTTTGAAGGCTGCAGTCTCTCGAATTAGTACTCAGCTAGTCAAATCTAAATAGGATGCGTTAAGTATTTAATGTTTGTAGTGTTTAATGGTGTTTTTAAGGACTGAATATGTATATTAAAATCTTTATTTAAAATTGAAGTTAAAAAATCCATATGATCAAATTATTGTAACGATCAAAATAAGTGCTAAGACTCTCTTGACGGTTTTAGGCTTTCTTTTATTATCGTGAGCGCTCGTCTAAAATGCTTCTGCCCCGACAAAAGCTGAAAAACTTCTGGAAATTCCTCCCAAAACTCCATCCATACACGAGTGGGCAAACTCTCTTCCTCTTCTTCTTTTTCTTCTTCTTCTTCTTCTTCTTCTTTAGGGTTTAACGGCGTTTTGCATCCGTTGCATTACCGCCACCTTCCGGATTACTCTCCTACACCGTTATTCCAGATTATTTCTTCCATCTTATCTTTCTGTCATATTCTCCTCATCGGGCCCGTTCTAATTAAGAAATTACAAATACTTCTTCTGCCTTGCCCATTCGTACCACATTGCAGTATATCTCTTATACTTGTCCCTGACAACCCACCTCTTCTTAATTCTTCTATCATATTTCTCGTTTGCTCTCCACGTCTTCTGCAACATAAAAGTACATGTTCTATGGTTTCTAATACCTGGCAGTACTTGCAAAAACCAGTAGGATGCTTCCCTATGATATATAACGTACTGTTCAGATTACTATGTCCTATTCTTAATCTCGTCATCGCTATTTCTTCTCTCCTAGTTCCTCCCCAATTCCTCACAGAAACAACTTTATTTTGAATGGTATATAAATGTCTTCCTTTAGCTTCCCTATCCCACTGACACGGCCATTCTGTCATGGCTTCTTTCCAGACTATACTTTTTCCTTCAGATTTTGACTCGTTCTTCAGAAGAACTTCCACCCCTTAAAAGGCCCCATTCAAAAAGAACACAGGAACAGAACATACATGTGCTTAAATCACACCTGAACAGAACATAATACACTTTTCAGACTTGCTACATTATTATTATTATTTTCTTTTTCTTTTGGCACAGATGCAAAAAGCCAAAGTTAGAAAAGTCAGCACAGATACCCTCACTTCTAATTTACCTGAAGAACGAAGAGAACAGCTCTGTACCTCACTGGGGAATGTGGAACTGTCTCTTCTCTACAAAGCTTCAGTTCATGGATATCAAGCTTCTGCCTTCCATCAGAGATGTGACCGCCAGGGTCCCACTTTACTTGTAGCCTACAACAATTCAGGCTACATCTTTGGTGGATACACTAGTGTAGATTATGCTCGAAGTGGCCGGGAAATTACAGACGAGGAAGCTTTCCTGTTCAGTTTTACAAGTGGAACCTCAAGCTACATCAAAGTTAACAGTGGATATAACGCACGTTATGATGACGCTAAATGGCCCAACTTTGGACAGCAGCTGTACTTTTGCTACAACAACCAGCCAGCTGTGAATTATCAAGGAGGGAATGCATTCAACATTAATACCTCATCAATGTATGGCAATGACACTCATCTGAGTGAATGTGAGGTGTATAAAGTGGAACAGGGTAAGTCAATCCTCAGCTTTATTACCACTTCATGTATTTTACACAAAAAAAGTTTCTTTAAAATAATTAACTTATTTAGTGTCATTAAAATGTTCTGTCTTTATTCGACAATTCCCAGAGCCTGAAGACAGCGTTGAGGAGAAACCATGGAGGAATGTTCTATGGACACTGGAGTATGTTTCTAGTTTATCTCTCTTTTGCTAATTCCCTGTGCTAATCTGAAATAATAAAACTGATCTGTGTTGTAGACGAAGAGCAGAGCTCATGGAAATGATCAGGAACCATAAACCCCTGATGACGTCTGTGAGTCGGGTCCGAATCCTAATGATCGGTCCTGTAGGTGCTGGAAAATCCAGTTTCTTCAACTCCATCAACTCCATCTTCACTGGTCATGTGACTAGTAAAGCCATGTCAGGATCCGCAGGCACTAGTCTAACTGTGCAGGTACAGATTAGGCAGAACTTCAGGACTTGCTTCAGTCTGTAATATAAAACAATTGTTCCACAAAGATTCCTGTTTTTGGTAGTTTCGCACATATCCAGTGAATGATGGTCGTGAGGGAAAGCCGTTGCCATTTGTGTTGTGTGACACCATGGGACTCGAGGAGCAATCAGGTGCAGGACTGGATATTGAGGACATCAGCAGCATTCTTCAAGGTCACGTACCAGACCGCTATAAAGTAAGTGCATAGGTTCATGTTTTTGGCTTGCAAATGTATATTTATCAATAAAATTGATCTTTAATTTCAATTATTCTCAATTCAGTTCAACCCCATGGCACCGTTTCAACCTGATGAGCAAAAGGCCTCCAGACCTGCATCTCTTCAGGAGAAGATCCACTGTGTGGTGTATGTGATAGACGCCACCAAAATCTCCCTCATGTCTGACAAACTAGAGGAAAAACTTGCTTCCATACGCAGAAAAGTGAACTCACTGGGTGAGTGAACATATTTACACCACTCTTGTGATTAATACAAAGTAGGTTGTACATAGAGCTACATGTGACGCACCTTAAAACGTACCTCAACAATTTCAGGCATCACTCAGATTGTCTTGATGACAAAAGTAGATGAAGCATGTCCTCTAGTGGAGGAAAATCTTCAAAGCCTTTATGTCAGTTCCTACATCAAGTCGAAGGTGAGACGCGGTCACATGATCAGATGGTCTGTTGCTACAGGACTCAGAGTGAGTGAGGTGTTGTTTTGTGTCTGCAGGTGCAGGAGGTGAGCTCTCGGTTGGGTGTGCCGGTGTCTTGTGTGTTACCGGTGAAGAACTACAGTCAGGAGCTGGAGCTGGAGCTCAACTGTGACGTCCTGCTGCTCACCGCTCTACAGCAGATGCTTCGCTTTGCAGACGACTATTTTGATGATATTCGTCCTGTGGAGGGCAACACTAAATAAATTTTTTTGGGCTCCTGTGACTTTATGCTCTGTAAGAGGACTAATAAAGTTTGACTATTTTGTACATTTGTTTTGGCAATAATGTAAACTAAATGGAAATATAATCAAAATTTGCTAAACATAAAATAACAAATGAAGATCTGTTACCCACCTTAATTTTAACATAAAAGTGGGCGTGATTTATTAATTGATTGTGTGGTGATAAGTGTGATCCACTTCCAGTTATTTTAGCTGTACAATAATAGCCCGTATATATCACAATAGTTCTCTATGCATCAAAGTTAACAGTGGATGATGCTGGAGGGCCCAACTTTGGCCTCCAGTTGTGCTTTTGCTACAACAACCAACCACTTGTGCAAAATGTACATCAGTGTAATGCATTGAATTTTATTGCTGCAACACTATATAAGAATTACACTCGGCTGAGTGATTGTTAGTTGTCCAATGTGGAGCAAAGTAAGTAATTAATTAGAAAAATATAGTTATGTACAATAAAAATGTTATAAACTCCAGTTCCTTTCAATAATTACTAATTTAATGTCAACTGTTTACATTACTCAAGCAGTTGCTGTTGTATTTGTTACATTCCTGTGCCATGATTAGGATTAAAGAAAAAAGCGCTTTAAAAAACAATGACAATTTTTTATTCTGTGCCTCAAGTTTCTTTCAAAACTGCAAGATTAAAATAAAAATGTACAATTTATTAAACACATTTCTATCACTAAACAATTCTCTTTATTTATTTTACATAGAAAATATATTTAATAACCTAATTTAAAGTTCCTAAATCATAAAAAAAAAATTAAAACATTTTTTAACAGCACATTCTTTGGAACTACCGAATAATAGCATTTAAAGTCATGTCGTTGTTTATTTGCCTGAATACTAGAATCGTATATTTTTATAGGCTACTTACTAACTGTACAGAATCACATAAGCTGGAAAAAAGGTGCTGAAATGGCGCCGTACATGTAGAACCGTCGACGCACGGTTTATTTGCAGATGCAGGAAACTGCTGGAGTGTAGTCTGTCATTGTTTCACGCTACCAAGGCAAGCTTCTTAAACGATATAGATGTGGTATTAAATATTTTATAATGCAAATATGATACATTTAGAAAGTAGAAGCAAACAATTTAATCGTAATGGTATCGATTTCAAACGAGGAAGCAACGCCTGAGATAAAGCTTTAACGTTACATTTTAACAACCGTTTATTGCGTTACAGTGATGAAAAACCAAAAAGAACACAATTCCGTACTTTATTTTATTCATTATTATTTGGTACTTGGCACTTTTCAGTTTCATCTCCGGCTAAACGGACTATAAGAATATAAATACTGACATTCGTTATTAGGTATTTTAAACTATACAAATAATATTTTACAGTAGGGGAAGCACGGGGTAAATTAAGCCAGTGGGTAAACTGAAGTTTACTTTCACGTGACGTGATGTATTTTTGGAACCACTACTAATTTCTGCCTGACTGTGAAAAGCAGAAACACATGGGAGGAGTAGAAGGCATCTATTTACATTTTTGGCTTGTCAAAGTAAAATTTTAGGACAATATGGCCTGCAGGTTTCACAGACAGGGCTTAGACTAAACCAGGATTAGGCCATAGTCCAATTTGGACATTGAAGTAATTTTTATTAACATGCCTTAGAAAAAACATTACTGGTGTGCATCTTGACTGAGACTAAACAAAGGCACTGATATATTTTAAGATCAGTCAGTGCAAGTTTCTTTCAGTTGAAACATTTTAGTCTGGGACTAGGCCTTCTTAATATTAGCCTGAATTGGTGCTTGCTAGTTTTTTCAAAATGGCATGGGGCAAAGTGAGCCAAATGCTGTGGGGTAAATTGAGCCAGCATTTTACCTTACCCCACCATAAGGCTCTGAAGTATAACCTGTTTTTTTAATGTGATATTACACAACTGGTTTAGTTTATCATATACATATTATTTGAAGTTTATTTGATAAGGACGGTGTAAAAGTACACACAATCCTTCTCTGATAAGAAGTCAAGTCAAGTCACCTTTATTTATATAGCGCTTTTAACAATACAGATTGTGTCAAAGCAACTGAACAGCATTAATTAGGAAAATAGTGTGTCAATAATGCAAAATGACAATAGTAAACACTAATTTTTCAGTTAAAGACAGTTCATCATTGAATTCAGTAATGTGAACATCTAGCTCAGTTTAAATAGTATCTTTGCAATCAAGTCAACGGTATCGCTGGAAATGAAGTGTCCCCAACTAAGCAAGCCAGAGGCGACAAAAGGCAAGGAACCAAAACTCCATCGGTGACAGAAGCAGAAGATGCTTTTCATCACATTATAATCATATATCTTTCCACCTGTAGTCCCTAATGGCCTGTTCGACGACATTGCAGAAAAGCTGCCATGCCAATAATCTAATCTCAAACAATTAAAGACTGAAATTTAAACTTTATTTGTTTGGTTTTATGTTTTTAAAGTTAGCTTTAAGAAAGAATTAAAGAATTAAAATATTAAATTTGTTTTTAAAAGAGGTAAATTATCTTTAAAAGTTCACTTGGGTTTGAATTAGATTCAGTCAGATGGACAGTTTACACCCAGATGGTGCATCTTAGGTCAATTTACCCCTAACCTGAGGCAAATTGAGCCACGGGAACACTTTTTTAATAAGAAGCCATATTTTTAGAACCCTTTTTCATAGATACATTCTGGTAATTTAAAATGATAGGAAACATCCTGAAATTACCTTATACTTTCATTGTACTTCTGCCTCATTTTCCCTTAAGAACCCTTTTTCATAGATACATTCTGGTAATTTAAAATGATAGGCAACATCCTGAAATTACCTTATACTTTCATTGTACTTCTGCCTCATTTTCCCTTGTCTTGAGGACCACAAATGTCTCATCTTACCCCACTCTCCTCTATTTATTAATCTTTGATTTTAATTTATTAATAAGACATTCAGGATTTTTAAAAAAGGATGTTATTTCTTTATATTATCGTCTTATGTAATACATGTCTTTTTGTATTTTTTGTTAAAGATGAATAAAAAAACATTGGGAAAGCTCAGCATGGATTCACTCACTTCTACATTAACAGAAGAGGAAAGAAAGCAGCTCTGTGGCTTACTGGGGAATGTGGAACTGTCTCTTCTCTACAAAGCTTCAGTTCATGGATATCAAGCTTCTGCCTTCCACCAGCGATGTGACCGTCAGGGTCCCACTTTACTTGTAGCCTACAACCATTCAGACTATGTCTTTGGTGGATACACTAGTGTAGATTATGCACAAAGCGGGCAGTATATTACTGATAAAGAGGCTTTCCTGTTCAGTGTTCAAGATGAAGTGCCGCTCTGCATCAAAGTTAACAGTGGATCTCATGCACGTCTTGATGACGCTGGAGGGCCCAACTTTGGTCAACAGCTGTACTTTTGCTACAACAACCAACCAGTTGTTTATAATCAAGGAGGGAATGCATTCAGTTTTGATTCTGATGCACTGTATGGGGACATCACTGAGCTGATTGAATGTGAGGTGTACAAAGTCAAACACAGTAAGTCAATTGTCAGAAAAATGTTTATCACTCACTGTATGTTTTACACAGATGTAGTAATTTTGAGTCTCTTAACCCTGTAAAGTGTGACATGAAATAATAGAAAAAATATCTAGAAAACGTTTTGCAAATGTTTTTGAGCTATTATAACAGTATAGCAGACTAAATATATATATTTATATAGAGAGAGAGAGAACAAGGAATCTATCTATATATATATATATATATATATATATACCACAACGTGAATGGTGAGGTTTTTGTAATTATACTTCTTCCAAAAAGTATAAACTATGTATCAGACAACAAAAGCATGTAGTAGATTGTGTAGTCCTGCTCGCTTCTTGATAGTTTTGGGGGCCTTAGAAATTTTAATATCAAAATATGATACAGTAGGTCTTATAGAGTTAAATTGTAATGTTGTTACCATTACTGAAATTATGTTCTATAATAATCTTTATTCAATATTTCCCAGTCCTTCAGGTCATGGAGAAACCATGGAGTAATGTTCTGTGGACAGCTGAGTATGTTTCCACTAAATGTTCTTATCAAAGTGTTGCAGATTTTATGCAATAATCTGCAAAATTAAAGTTGTGATTCATTTTGTAGTCAAAGAGCAGAGCTCATGGAAAAGATCAGGAATCAGAAACCCCTGGTGATGTCTGTCAGCCGATTGGGCCGAATGACTAGCAAAGCCATGTCAGGATCTGCAGGCACTAGTCTCACCACACAGGTAGAGATTTAACAGCTTTCATAGTGTTTCCTCTAAGAGTTTAAGCAACGTCTCTTGATGACTTCAGGTCTGGATGTGATTCTCTTCTTGGTTGGTAGTTTCGCACATATCCAGTGAAAGACGGTCGTGGAGGAAAGCCGTTGCCATTTGTGTTGTGTGACACCATGGGACTCGAGGAGCAATCAGGTGCAGGACTGGATATTGAGGACATCAGCAGCATTCTTCAAGGTCACGTACCAGACCGCTATAAAGTAAGCTACTTAGGGTACATCTACATACATACATTTGAAAATGGCATTTCTGTTTAAAAACACAAGGGTTTCTTATTCACACTGAAACAGAAAATGTTAAAATCATCTTATTGTGCATGTGTAAAACATAATAAAAGCTCACTGAGATGATACTGAGAGTCCAGACATACAGTAACTGTAATACAATTTGCTATTCTTCTGACTAGGGCTGTCAAAATGACTGAAAAACTAAATTCGAATTTTCTATTTAAATATTCTTCATTTAAAAACATGAGATACAGTGGGATGGGGAAAAACTGCCATAAAGTCTTGAGACATGTTTTTTAAAAGTTTAACTTAGATTAATTTTACATGGCTTTCTAAACATGCCGCTCTCTGCGAGACGCGAGTGCAACGCTGATAGATGTCCCTCTAGAAAATGTGATAAATATGCGTTCTGTGTGAACGACTTGGTTTCAGTTTTGACGTAAACAGCATCTCCACACTGATGCTCTCGTTTTCCGCAAAATATGAATGAACAACGTAGCAGCGCCGCATCTAGTGGGTTCAACTGGATAGGCTAACAAAAGCAT